AGCGTGGCATCCAGGGTTCTTCTGGAGGAGGTTGGTGAATTTGAAAAGGACAGAATCAACAGTCCACCTTTCCTGGTGCGTATTGTGATTCATCCCAGTGACAAAGATTCAAGCAAGGTAAAGGCCATTTAATTACAGTCCTTTGTTTAAAAAATGCAAATAAAAATGTTTAGCCTCTAAATGTGTTGGTCAGTGGACAACCTTTCACTACCAAGAAGAAATACAACTGACTACTAAAAGGGCATCACTTTGTTTTTATCTGCAGGCCTTCCAGTCTGTGCAGGGAAATCTGCATCTCAGAGGATTCACAAATGATATTAACCCAGATCAAGGTTGGGATGTTTTCATTTTGAATTTTAAAATAATTAAAAACATGCGTAAATTTCTTCTTTAGAAATTAAATGAATTTATCCTTAAGACCACATTAATTATCTGATTCCAAAGAGGCAGGAAAACACCACATAGGCTAAAATTAAGTGTAACACACTTATGTATAAATAGATATTTTTATTATTTTAATAATATTTTATCTGGAGGCAGAAAGTTGTTTATTGCTTTATAAAAAAATTGTGAAAATTGTGACTATTTACTGTATCATATTTAACCATGACTCTTTCTTATTTCTGTCACTTTAGAGTCCTTTTACCGCCATGTCTCTCTGTCTGATCATGAGGTCACAGCCATGTTGGGTGAGGTCAAGGTTCAGATGCTCCGTGGAGACATCTTAAATGGGGGCACCGATGTCATTGTCAATACGACTGATTTCTCTCACTCTTCTGGTATAATCTAAATGTTGTTTTTATTACTGAACAAAAAATGTGAAAACAGGACCACAAGAGATTTGTTTATATTTTGCTTAAACTGAAAATGACTCTAGGTTTATACCTAACCGTGTCTGCAGGTGTCTCCAAAGCCATTGTGACCGCAGCAGGGCCATCCGTCCAAGCAGAGTTAGCTCAAAGTAAGTCTTAGGAATAACACTAAACACTAAACAGCTTTATAGATTTGTGTTTTTGATTGATTAATTGATTGATTAATCTTTCTTTTTTCTTTCTTTCTTTCTTTGGGAAGGAATTCCATCAGACTGGATGGTCACCACAGGGCCTGGAATGCTGGGATGCAAGGAAATCATCCACGTTGGCTTTAACTGCGATCCTCAGTTGATTCGCAAGTACTGCAAAAAGATACTGGTGCACTGTGAGAACAAAGGCTACAACTCTGTGTCCTTCCCAGCCATCAATACAGGTTAGTACTCTATACCTGTGTGTATGCTGATATATGTATATGAGTCTGCAAGTGGACGTGTTTATTTCTGCATCTTATTAACAGCAAATTAGTGCCCGTTGAAAAAATGTAGAGCATATAATCAATTATTGTAACATTGTATAATGCACATTATTTTCTCTATAACTGTCTTATATCCTATCAGGAGTGGGGGGTATGTCCTATGATAAAGCTTGTAAAGCCATGCTGGATGGGATAGCTGCAGCTATTGCAAAGATGAAACCAAGTTCTCTCTCACTCATTCGCATTGTCATCATGGAACACCCAGTCTTCCAGGCTTTCAGGTTTGAAATAAAACATCTTCACAACATGAGAGTAAATTATACCATAAGCATTGTTTTCCCAATCATATTTTATCGTTTAAATCACCTGCTCTGTGTTTGCAGAAAAGAGCTGGAGAATCGCTTTGGACAAATAACTCCTTGCCGCATCAGTCTGAGAGGTTTGTTGTAATTTAAAATTTTGGAAAGTTTCCTTCTGCACTCCCCTTGCACATTAATGAATTTAGGTTTCTTTGTTAAACCAGCACTCTAATGAAAAATTTAAAACTATTCAATGAGCATTAGAAATCTTTGACAATTGCCAGTTACAAAAATTAACTGACAATTACTGCTGTCAGCAGTTTTCATGAATCTAGTACATCTCAGAAACTTTCTAAAGAAATGCATGTAATAAGTATTCAAGTTCAAATGCATTTTTTTTTCAGATGTGAGAATAACTCAAGTAATATTCCTGTGATTCATAGCGAGCTAATGTCATAGGTTGTATATAAAAGTTGGACTTAGTTACTTTGACAGTACTGACTGGGTTCCAGACTCAGCCTCAATGTTAGTGTTTTGGCACTGTCCATGTTGGGTTTAGGAGCCAAGAATGACCACATTTAGCTCAGAGGTTAAGTAATAAGTATACTTATGGAGTAATTAATGTTAAGTACCAGGATAAGAAATACTAGAATTTTACCCACTGAAATCTTGAAATAGCTCTACAGCTACCACACAGCAATTCACACGTTTTGTGAACGAATTCCACCAAAAGAAGCCACCATGACAGGGATGAAGGCCCAGTTCAGAGATTTAAGCTGGTGGTGAAGAAACCTTGTAGACAGAACTGTAGACAAAGTTTCCACAATCTATAGATGTTTCTGGTATTAAACAGCAATATTGTAGCCTGCTAGCTTGCACACATTAGCAAAAGAAAACATTAGCATTAGTAACCTGTGCTTTAGGAATATTGAAAATTTAAAGCAACTTCACAGCAGTCTATCGACCTTATTTGATCCTGAACTACAGTCACAATATGTGTAATAGTGACACTAGAGCAGAAGCTGATACTCACTGGGTATTTTCCACAGCCCATTTATTTGCTTTTTTTTTTTATTATTTTCTAGAAAAAGCCAAACAGATGCTCAAGAAGTGGCAAAAGAAACAATCAAATTCCTTCTCTTCAATGGGACCACAAGAAAAAACCTTTGCCTCCTCTAAACCTCAGCCAGCTATGATACGTGTAATAAGCTGTGATCCATACATCACCAAGACCATCCAAAGTGAGCTGGAGAGGATCCTGCAGAAGCACCTGATAAAGAGGGAAGTAGACGTGCAGGAATTTTCAGCGCTTGAGCCCATGGAGCTCGAGGCTGTGCAGGCAAAAATCAGAGTCTTTGGAATAAGCCTGGAGCACAAGAAACATCAACATGACAAGAGCAGTGCTGGAAATATGGTCAGACCAGAAGCAAGAGCTCAGACGGGGTCAGGAAAAGATGTCTACGTGCTGGAAGGCCTAAAAGAGGACGTTTTGAGTGTCACTGAACTCATAGGCAGAGCAACCCAAGAAGCACTTTTTAAAGACTTTCAATATAAAGAAGAAGCAATAACAGCTCTAAATGTGCAGTGGTCTTTGAAGGGCATAAATGGAGCCTGGCAGGAGGTGAGTCTGCGTGACAACTACATGTTGGAGTACGCTCATACGCGGAACAAAATCTTTATTGACATAGATGGACCAGATGGCTCAAGAGTGACCGTAAACCTGAAGACACAAGAAGCCACAAATGGGGTGACAGGAATGACATACAAGCTAAAAAGGATCGAGTCTGGAGGTTTGTCCCATTTTCTAGTTTCTCTTTTTTTGTTTTGTTTTGTTTTATTTTAACCATAGTCACCTGTGTTAAGACCATTCCCTTTTGTGATGTAGAAACTTTGCCTCACTACTTATTTCAAGAAAGTATCTTGCCTTAACCATATGCTTCATTTGTTTGGTTTTTACTTTAGCATTGGAGATGCCAATTAAATGGGATCCTATGCAGGAAGAATTGTTCATGAAGGTAGAACTGCAGCCTACCTCACAGGAATATCGGGAAATAGCCCAGGGTTTCCTGAAAACAGCCAAATTCAACATTTGCAAAGTGAGTATTCTTACAAGAAATCATGCTTGCTAAGATATTTTAACATAAAACGCACCGTACATGAGGCAGTTGACTAATTTGTTTTCTGACCTCAGATTGAGCGCGTGCAAAACCTCTACCTGTGGAACGCCTACAGTGTGTGTAAGCAGCGTATACTTGCCAAGAATGGACCAGCAGAGCTAGGTGAGAAGACTCTCTACCATGGCACAACAGCAGAGTCATGCCAATGCATTGAACGGGACCGATTTGACAGGGGTCACGCAGGAAAACATGGTAAGGCATCTTTTATAATATGTCATTTAAATCCCTCAGCAAGAAAGGACATACTCCTAAAATGTATCCTAATTTTTGTTGGGTTTTTTGTGTGATTTCATTACAGCTGCAAAGTATGGAAAAGGAGTTTACTTTGCTGTCAATGCAGCATATTCAGCTAACGGATTTTCCCCAGCAGACAAATCAGGCTTAAAGAGGATGTATGTTGTTCGTGTCCTGACTGGCCGTTACACGGTCGGTAAGAGCAGCATGATTTCACCTCCTCCTCGAGGCTCAGATCCCACTGACTGCTACGACAGTCTGGTGGACAACCAGCAGCAGCCCAACATGTTTGTGATCTTCCATGATGACCAGGCCTACCCAGAATACCTCATTACCTTCAAGTGAGAAAGACTGAGAGAAGTCATGCATCAATACTGTGGGGTCAAAGAAATGTACTATAGTGTAAATGTTTCTACTCTGAGTCAATGTTAGATCTCGTTATTTAGATTTTGTCTTAAGCAATGTATCCCGGCAATACAGATGTAGTAGTTATTTAAAGTGAATAAGATTTCATCTCAGCTAACTGCGTATTTGAGAGATTTTTAAGAATGGTTGTGAGTCATAACTTTGCCTCATTTGCTCCCAGCAGCCATTAAGTTTCTACAGTACGTAGTTCTTGTGATGTGAAAAATAACTCCCTCTTCTTTTGTTCTTTTTTTTATTACAAATGTTCTTGAATAGAACTAGAATCATTTATTTTAAATAGAATACTAAGTTTTAGTTCACATAAATACCATTGCATAGACTATTTCTTTTTTCTTTTTTTCTTTTTTTTTGCATTTCCCACAATAATTACATAATTACATAGAAATAGGTAAGGATTAAGAACATAAGAAAATACTGTATTTATAAGACTTGGGGGGGGGGGTTTCATGGTTATTAAAACATCTTTATTAGATGGAGTACATCTTTGTCAACCGCACAAAAAAACAAATACAACATTTTCAGAAGACAAAATAAAGTGTACAAAAAATGACACGTCACATTTTTGTCTGATGCCACTTCACATTGGAAAAAGCAAAAATCCAGTGAATGTGCAGTACTTATTTCCATTATCACTGATCTGTCGGTTTCCCCAAAGACGAACATTGACCATGTCTCCAACTTGTAGCATTAAGACTGCACTATTTGAGCCACTGATGGGATGAGCCCGACTGTAACCATACCATGATACAATCGGGTTTCCATTGTGGTACAGACTGCCACCACTGTTTCCAGTGTTTCCTCCCCACCAGAAAGAAGAAAAGGTGAAATAATAGACTCCTTGAACTGGTGCTGTAAAATACCCTGCATTGAAAAACAACCATAAAGTAACAGCAATTAATCCAATAATGCTCCTGCTGAATAGAACAAACTGAACAGAAATACTTTTTAGAGATTATAAAATTCTCAGCAGCAGAAAAGGGGGAAGGCACGTGCGCACACGCACACACACACACACACACACATACAGCCACACTGGTTTCTAACCTGTTACTGGACTGTAGTGTCCTCCGACGTTGTACAGAACATGTCTGTACACCAGAGGGTAAAGAACATTTGCTGGCCCAATAGTGGCTTCTGTGGGTAAAGCAGCAGAAAATGCAACCTGACGTTGTCCTAAAAACACCAGAAAATATATTTTAGCTTGTTTCCTCCAAATGAATAAATAAATAAAAGTAACAATAACAAGAATAATCAGTTTTCAAATTATTTAATATTTTCATTATTATACTATAACGTTGCCACCATTCTTAAATGTTATAGAGCTAGAATTGTTTAAACACACAGTGACACCTTTTCTTTTTGTTGTTAGTACAACAGCAGTGAAGCTCACAAGAACTGAAACTTTACTAGAATGATAATAACATCTGTATTTCACCAGATGTGGTTTGAGCCTTGGTTCGATTAATTCTGAGCTTTAGTATTTAGCCAGTATTTAATCAGCAGAAAACAGTTGCCTTTCACCTCAACTAAGTATGAATTCAATAATATCAGAGAGAGATGAGACAAAAAGAGAAGGAAAAGTTTAATGCGTTAGGGCATATAAACATGTGGGGAATTAAACAAGGGGAGTGGAAAAGAATTGGAGGTCCTTCAGCAGCCTGAGCACTAAGCTTTATAAAAAAGGAAAGTATTAAACCTAATCTAGTAGAGAGAAGAGAGAAATAGACAGTGTACTATACCTGACACCTGAAACACAAATTAGAAGCTGGTTCCTGAGAGCTGAACGCGCTGCCTCCCATTCTACTCACAAACTCAGAACCATAAGTTAGCCTGCAGCCTGAGACTAAGTACTCTGTTCGGACAATATTGTGCCGTGAGTTCCTTGTGACAGGATTTCAAATTTGATTCTGGGTTTTACAGACATCAAATGAAGAGAAGCTAAAATAGAAGAAATCTGTCTGCAGGCACCAAACATGCAAACCTCCCTAATGCTTAATTTTTCGCCTGCAATAAGTTAAATTTAGTATTATAACTAAAATGCTTTTGTAACAACAATCATTAAAAATGAGTAATAAAAGACTATCATGTAAAATAGACTTCATGAAAAGTTACATGGCACAATGACTGCACAGTTCATTATTTTTATTCATTCATTCAGTTAATTTTTACCAAATATTTTGTTACCTTCATACGTTGTCCTGAGCTCAGTCAGTGTGCTGTTAAGTGCAGCCACCTTCTTCTCACTGGCTTCCAGCTTTGTGTTTGTTTCTTCAAGAGCCCTCACGGTGGCTTTCTGTCGTTCTTCTAGAGCCCCCAGTTCCTTCAGCACCATATAGATGTTGGGTTCACATAGATGGTCAGTTGTTTTGTTTGCTGTCCGAGTGGCTGGTGTTTCAGACCCTGGGTCAGCTGACACGTCGTTATTGTTCTCTGCCTTAGTATCTTCATATGAGAGCTCAGTGATCAGGTTCTGATTGATTTGATTCTGATCACCCCCTTCCTCACATTCAGATAAACCAGCAAGTAAACAAATAAGAATAATTACTGTTACTCTCTCCATTTTCCAGGTTAGATGGTATTTCTCCGATTTCTGTGTTTCACTGAAGACCACGGTGTAAAGAACCTATTTATAAAAGGGTCTGGGTTAATTATTAGAAATAAAGTGATGAAAAACATCATATAATCTTATGATGATGGAATAAACTTTAACCTTTTTCCTTATTGCCAGTTTGTTATTCAGGACTTTTATGAGTTAGATAAAGCATTGGAAATGGAATATACATTTATTACACTCACCAGATTACAAACAGAAAACGTGACTTTATCTTTGACCTGCTTTTTATCTGCACGTGGAATGGGAATAGGGTTGTAGGAGAAACAAGGGGTTGGGTAAAAGTAATT